TGTATGTATGAAAACTAGGCACAATTAGAAGCTTAGATGTTTCGTCTTAGCATGGAACTCGTCTGTTAGTTGGGGTTACATAACTGAATGGACAGGGAGTCGAACCTAGGTCTTATACTGATCGCCTATTTATTTATTTATTTTAACACATAGATATTGGTACAAAGAGGCACCAAATACATATGCACCACACAAATCTCATTCGATATGTGTGAGGGCTGTGATACTGCCCGGGTGCCCAAACCGAAGCAGGTGGTTTTCGTAGGGGGCCACGCCCCGAGCAGGGCAGTAGAGCATCGTGAGGAGATGCAGTCCCATGGAAGTCGGTGGCCAGCAATTGGTTTATACTCCATTTGTTCCCGCAGGATACTGGAGCCCATGTGCACCATTGGTTTGGGATCTGGTTACAGCGCCGGACCTTCGCTTTTCGTCCTCTCGATTTCGTAAACAAACCCTCGCCACGAGAAGGCAGTGAGTAGGACTTCCCTGGCAGAGGCTGTATACGCGTGGCCATGTGAGAGCATTTGGAGAGGGAGAGCGGACTTTCCCGACTCTCGGCCGTACCAGGGCATTTGGGGGCATGGTATACATTATTAACTTTAGTCAATTTGTGATGAATTTGATAAAAATCTGTAAAGACTATTAAATAAATGAACTACACTAGCTCATTGATATCGGGCTTACATTATTATAATTGTTCACTCTACTACCACAAATATGACTTCGACAGAAGAGTGAGTAATTAGCACACGTTTTGTAACAAATAACTGCAAATATTGTTTGGCCGTGTATTAATTTTTAAACTACGATCACTGTCCATGTTGTTTGTATCATTCTTATGAGGATAGTACACAAGAAATTTATTTTAACATGAAATAATAATGATGATGGTTGATTAGTACCATTAATGACACATTTAAATGCCTTACATAATATTCATCATAATTTACTAACCAGTTTGTATCGTTCATCTCTTATACATACTGTCGCCAAGTTTAGTGCATAGTTGTATTTTAAGCGGTTTGTTCATGATCTCAACTCATCATCGTTACTGTTGATGGATTTTACTTTGAAAATCAGATAACCTCAATTATGTAGAACTTTGTCCCGTTTTCTGTCAAATGACTTTTTTTTAACGGGCAGATATTTGGACTTTTTTCGGAGTTACCTGGTCTCTTGTTTTCTTTTATTGAAAGACAATCTTTGTCTTGTTCTTATATGTTTAGTATGAACAATCAACTAGGAAGTAATGTTTTTGATTGAGATCAAGAACCGATTGATGTTAGACCATCACAATTGAAAACCTGGAAGCACTGGACGGCCGTTTCGTCCTATTGTTGGACTCCTGAGCAGTGCGCATCCACGATCCCGCGAGCGGGACTCGAACCCAGGGCCTTCGGTCTCGCGCGCGAACACTTAACCTACTGGACCACTGAGTCGGCATCCAATGGTGTTAGTTTCTAACATCAACCAATCCACGAAATTGCGCGACCAACTTCCATTGTACTGAGGTAGATACCCGTCTCTACCCGACACGGATTAGCTCCACTGGTCACGACTTCTCACTAGAACTCCGAGAATTCCCTCACGAAGCTAGTCACTAGTAAGCACATGTTAATTACTAGTATAGGGGTTGTGGAGATTATTAAGTTTTTGATTGAGATCATGAACCGATTGATGTTAGACCATTACAATTGAAAACCTGGAAGCACTGGACGGCCGTTTCGTCCTATTGTGGGACTCCTCAGCAGTGCGCATCCACGATCCCCCGAGCGGGATGACAATATGATTTAAAAGAAATGGATGAACTTGCGGAATAAAAAGTATAATATACATTTGAAGTGTTAGATCTTAAGGAAGACAGAGTAAATGTATCGACGCCATTGTGGACTGTTCTGATTAGTGTATCTTACAATTAGTTACAATAATTGCAATGACCTAACTGTCTAATATGCACCTACCAGCATGGTTTAGTTCAATAGTCAATGACTTGATAAGTTGATGTCACAGCCTGGCTTAACTATCCCTAGTTCTCTTCCAACCTAATTGTGGAATGGCCAAATACTGACGTCGAGGTAGGTGATCGGACATATAGAATACATGTCTCAACTGCCTCGGTTTATAAAAACTCATTACCTCACCGAACGTCTTGCGATCTTCATCTAGTACCCTGCTTGTAATCTCGGTATTGCTCATTTAATACTCCCTACATATATGAAAGTTGAGTACTTCACCACAATGCTTACAACACTACGTTATTAGTGTAGTGTAACTGATCCGATATTGACTTGTAGTTTACATGATATCAGATTATTCGGAAACACTGGACATAGATTCTCTGATAGTTGGTATTCGTTAGCAAGATTGATTTTTACTCTATTTAAAGAACTGATTTTACATGTGAATGAAGCACTGCTAATCAACCTGTTAAAGTGTGTACAAACCAATCAATAAAGCACGAAATTATACAAAATGAAACAGAAACTCGGTTGTTAACTAGCAGTAATTCATTTCATTATTTGATGCACATTATACAAGCATGAAGAATGTTGTATTATTGTATTGTATTGATGAATTCAACCAGTAATGATGAAATAAATAAACAAAGATTCAATTCGTTTAATATAGTTTTGTTTATTATTCGATTGAAAATGGATTTCAATTTAATCTGCCTTGTGTTTCATCGTTATTTTGTAAAACATTGTTCCTGTTTTCATTGATTTTGTTTCTGGATTCATGTAGCTCACTCTATCCCTTCACCATTAATCTGTCTCATATATATATATATATATATATATATATATCATACGTGTGTATGAACATGGTTAGATAGGTTTGCTCAAACGCGTTTCTTCAAGTCTACAAAACATGTAGTCAATCTTGTTTGTATGTTGTTATCACGGTTTTTTTTTCTTCTTCTTCTTCTTCGGCAATGTATTACAGAAAGCTAAAGCACGAATTAGAATTTTTAGAAAAAAAAACAACTAATCAACCCACGTTACTAAATATTATTGATAAAATTGATGAGAGTGAATTATCTCGCATTCTCCTCTCATATTTGCCTGTCCGTATGCCTTCTATATTCTTCTTCTTCTTCTTCTTCTTCTTCTTCTTCTTCTTCTTCTTCTATGATAGACATTCGGTGATGATAATTTAATTACTCTCATTATAAGTCATAGAGGATATGTTAGATGAATGATGCTTGTAAGCTTTTTCCCGTAAAAAGATTTGGATTCAATGTAACGCATCAACTGTTACTATGTATCATAACATGTGACATTTACTACTGGCTAATATGAACGAGTAGTAGTATTTCATGTTTAAACTATGATTATTCAAATATTGATTTATTGGTTTTCTGTGATTTATCGCTTGGATTAACAACATCGCTCATCAATATTCAGTAGTTCCATGGACTGATACTTGATGTTTGTTTGTTCATAATTTTCTTACTATTTATTCCTACTCTCTAACATTCTTTGTCAGGGTGTGTAATGGTTGAGCACAGGTAACGTTCATGACCATACTAGTCAATGAAGATACTCAGTTCCACCAACTGATTCTTCAGATGTAACTAGTACCGCATTGGTCACTCGGCGATTTGAACATTGAAAAGTAGTTGTATTCTAGTCGCTTTTTGTGCTTACACAGCTTTAAGCTTGTTTTCATGTGACCAGTGGAGTAAAACCATGTGTGTTGTGAGGCAGTTACTCACTGAAGATAATGATGGACGGTCTTGGAACATCATGGATTGGTTGAAGTTAGACATGAACACCGTTGGATGCCAGTTCAGTGGTCTAGAGGTTAAGCGTTCGTGCGCGAGACCGAAGGTCCTGGATTCGACTTCTGCGTGTGTGATCGTGGATGCACACTGCTAAAGAGTCCCATACTAGTATGAAACGTCCGTCCAGTACTTGCAGGTTTTCCAAGGTGGTCTAGTTTAAATCAACTCCTGAATTCAACCGTCAAATTACTACAATTACCTCAAACCCTCATTCTGACAACAGTTTTTTTTTATGTCGAAATTTTCTTTGTCAAAACTAACTTCAAGCAGAATATTTATTCTTAATTATCATTCAATTGATTGTTGATCTGAATCGTATGATGGAATGTGAAATTCCCGGTTTCGTCTCGCATACTGATCGTAGTCAACAATTAATTGGAGATGTTTTTTTGGAATTTTTTTGTGGAGTTAGGCTTTTCAATTTCATTGATGTTATTAATTCCCCATCTCTAGTTTTATTAATTCTCTCATTGTTGTTTGTGAGGTTTGGTGAGTCGTACTGATATAAATTTGTATCGTAACCCCTAAATTTATGTAAGTAATACATTTGTTAGGAAACGGGTACTAAGTAAGAATGGCAAATCAATTGATAAAGTAGTGAAAATCCATCAGTTGAGATGACTGGGACACGTGTTACGTATGCCCAACCCAACCACAGACTACCCCGAAGTGCGATGCTTTATAGTGTATGAGTAGGTTGGAAGAAAGCAAGGGACGGCCAGACCAAAATATGGCACAAATCCATGAAGACACTGACAAGTGAACTGAGTAATGTTGGTAGGTGTAGATTACCTGGTTGGGATCCGCGAGTCGATAGCGATAGCAACCGATGGTTAGAGACCTTGAATGACATGGCTCAAAATCGTTTGCAATGGCTCAGATGCATCCACTCTGTGTTCTTCGAAGTTCTAATCTTCTGAATTCTTCATGCCTTTTCCTTTTTCTCTTTGCAAATTTATTTCACTGTATTATACTCCTTGAATAATATCTTCAAACCCTAATGTTTCTGATTACTGCTCACGCTCTTACTACCTCTACCACAATGGGATTTGAATCGATAACTGCATGTGTGTGATAATGTGGTATGGCAACTCGAATTGATGTACATGCGACGAAGTTCTACGTTGTTACTGACTGACTGAAATGTATGTCTTTCAGTCTAATATTTCAGTAAATTCGTTGTATATATATATCCATTATATTTAATCTTTTACAGAAGATCGTAAACTATTCATTGGTATGTTAGGAAAGCATCAAACCGAGAAAGATATTCAAAATTTATTTTCACCTTATGGGCTCATTGAAGAATGTACAATTTTACGTGATCAAAATGGTTTGAGTAAAGGTATGTTTTGTTCAAATTGTTGAATCATACAACAATTTTATGCTTTGATATAGATTTAAACAAAACAAGAATAACACTGTTTACAGAATAAAGTGAATTCTTCTTTATTCATGGAATCTCATCAGTTCCATACAGCTTGAATTTACAAGAGATAAAATAATTACAAACAAATGTTCTATGTGCTTTAGTTAGTTAAGTTGAGATGGATAATCCGAAACATAACCAAGAATTATACTAATAGGAAGAGGCCACACAAAATGTAATTCAACGTGGTTAAGGTTGATGAGTACTTATGTTCAAAAATTAGTAATACAGAGTAGAGGATGTGAGGTTACTAATACGGGGGCGGGGCTTGTAAACGTAATAAAATCAATAAAGGGTTGCATAACTGACCGAGATTATTCGAACTAAAATCAAATTAATCTATGAGTGTAAAAAAGATTATATGGGAGACAAGTATCATTTGATTACAATGGTGAAGTAAGACTTCTCTGTGTACGTAGATCAGGTCGGCAATGTTTGATAGGGATTGTGTTTGGTAAATGTAGTGAAATTAATGTTATAGAAATATTGCTGGCGTCTGCTGGGATCACCGGGAAAGTAATAGTGAGGTTAGACGCAGGGTATTACGGAAAGATGGTAAATCAGTTGATGAGGTTGTGAATCTTCATCTACTGAGATGGTTAGGCCAGGTGTTACGTATGCCCGAACACCGACTACCACGACGTGCAATGCTAACCGGTGTTCGGGATGGTTGGAAGAAAGTTAGGGGCGGCCAAACCAAAACGTGGCATCAGTCCACCCAGTCACTAACTTCTAGTCTGAGCCATGTTGGTAGATGCAGACTACTTGGCTGTGGTCCACGTGACTATCGTAACCAATGGTTGAAGACTCTTAGTGAAATGGCTCAGAATCGATCACAATGGCGTCGGTGTATACACTCTCTGTCTCCCCTTAAACTAAGAGATTAAAATCGCTTCATATCTTTCTTTCTACGAACTAATTCTTTCTTCCTGTACTATATTCTTATTGCAATCTTTCTTTTATATATTACCACCTTTGAATTAACACTACTTTTATGAATCCGGTGTTGATCTTGTTGTGTTAATGAGGTATGGCAACTTGGACCGATGCATATATGTGCCTGGTCCTACGTTGTAGCTGACTGACTATGTGGCGGATGGAGTACTATTCAGGTGCCCAAACTGAATGAAGTGGTTTTCTTGAAGAGCCATTGGTCAAGCCTTCGACCTAAAGTTGTAATCCACAAGTCAGTGGATCAACATTAGGTTGTGCAGTCTGATGTTAGCGTTTGATGAAGAAAGGGTTGATACACCATATGTTCCTTCAAGACACTGGAGCCGATGTGCACTATTGGTTTTGAATGTTGAGTTTTCCATCCTGTAGATGGATCGTCCGTACCTATGAACGAGGATGAAGCACTGTACATTCGATTTTCGTCCTCAATTTGATAAACGGTATCCATGCATCGGGAAGTGAGTGATTAGGACTTCTGTGACAGTAGCTGTATGTGCGTGGTCATAAGAGAACATTTCGTGAGTGTATGTGAGAGAGAGTGGACTCTCCACACCCTCAGCTGCATTTGAGGGCATTTAACGCAACAATAACTAATATGTCACAAATTTGCCTACGATGAGATATATCATATAACTTATCTTATACATAGATACTTATTCGAAAATTCTGACAACTAATCGACCAAGAACAAAATGGACTATGTTGCTTATTCCTGTTTTTTCTCTCACTTCATCTTAACAGAGAAAAAAAAACAACCAAAGCTTTATATATATACATTTTATATACTGGATAAACTAATGATTGTTTCATTGTTGTTATCACACATATGTTTTGTTAACAAGAGGGAAAAAAAGTGGCAGTCATTCAATTTCACCTAGGTTATTAGACTAAATCTATATAAATACCTCTGTATTGTTTTTGTTTTTCTAACAGTTCTAATTACACACATGTATATAGCTGTTCGATTGTATCACTTTTCAATTGTCTCATCATTCGGTTATTTGATAATTATTATTTTTTCTTCATTTATGTTACTGTCGTTATTTTGATTGTACAGGTTGTGCTTTTGTAAAATACTCCTCGAGTACAGAAGCGGCAAACGCTATCGATCATATGCATAATAGTCAAACAATGCAAGTAAGTTCTATGTATGGATTTTGTTTTTTGTCATTCCATTCTATCAGGAATCAGTCGGAGTGATATATTTTTATGCATGATCATTAATATGACATGATGTAATTGAAATCGGATGCTCCATTTTAGTGCATTGTATGATTATGAATCCTTTTTGTGTTTTATTGGAGATTTAACAGCGTGTTGTTTCTTGTTTGTCCCCATAATAATGGTCTGTTGTCAGATTTAAATCTCTTTGGAACGTAATGGTGGATATGGTATTATGATAGAATCAGTATAGTGTTGTAGATTCCTTCCTCCTATGTGGGGTTTATCATCCAGTTGACTAAGTTTTCAGAAAATCATTCCATTTAATTCAGTTTAAGCAGTTCAATATCGTTATGACCAACTCTCTCTCTCTCTCTCACACACACACAAACTGAGGCCCCTACTTGGTAGAGGACTTACAGAATACATAACTGGGGACGGTTTTTTTTTATAAAATGTCAGTCAATCAATTATACACGCTTAATCACAAGTCAAACTCCACCTGTAGTCCTTCTAGAGTTACTGCAGGTTCCGGGCCCGCACAAAGGAGGAGGGTTGGGCACGGGGTCGGCAACCCCGTTGGCATTGTTTTGGTTAACCACATTATATCAGTACAGTGATATGAAATTGAGAAGGCATGTCAAATAAATGACAGTTTTATTGGTAGTAGAAAATATTAGACATATATGATATGCATAGAAAACGAAGGGTAAATTCATGGAATAGCAATGTCCATTATAATTTTGATATTTAAGATCTAGGAAAAAAACAGCCTGGCGATAGACGGCGATGAATGCAATATATTCATAAATCTTGAAATTAAACTACACATTTGCCTCATCTACCCTTGATTTTCTCAACTTAAGGGCAAATTTTATCTGGTATCATAGTTACTACCGTTACCACTTTAATACAAACAAATGTGACGTATTAATCAAATACATTTCCTGTTCCATGAGTCAATTTTTATTGTAGAGTTAACAACAACAACAACAACAACAAAAAGGACGTTATTACAGAAATATATTAGTTAAGGAAGATACAGGCGAAAGTAAGACCACTGCCGCATGGGCCAGTCCATGGCGTATGATTAAGTAATGCGCGTTTGTTGTACATGACCTTGGCAGGGAGCGACGATCTGTACAACTACTACTAGGAAACCATAATTGCAAAATATGGTTTATAGAATGTTCAACCCAATTTTGATGTCTCAAATTAAATATCCAGGATAAGTGATTACGTATGTTTGTCTTTGTGTGAGAAACTGTAACTTTGGTTACATCATAAAACGTGTTGAAAAAAAATCAGTCTCAATGATTTGATTATTCATAAACGAATCGTTCACAGTATTACGGTATAAATGAAGTTCAAAATAATTGACATCATGCGTATGTATATTGAAATGTACTATAGGTTACCGGTCATCAGATTTCTGACCTAGTCTGGCGTTGTGTATGTGTGTGTGTTTGTGTTTTTTCTCATCAAATCATGTCATCGATAGTATTATACTTAGTATCATTCAGATTTGCTGACCTCAACAATGCATAACTGTTATATTGATTAGCACTCGGCGTATGGATTTAGCGTGTTTGTTTAAGGATACAATCAGTTTATCTAAAGTAATCGTACGGAACGTGCTCTCTCCGAAACGTGATTATCGAATAAATAAGGAGGGCTGTCAATAAGATTATTAAGCTTTTTTTCCTATTAAAGATTGACTTAATTATCACTATTATCTTGATAACGTTTCAATATATACCTTATATTATCATGATTTTATTTTGTTCAATTCTTTCGGCGGTTTTTTCAGGGTGCTTCTTCTCCGTTGGTTGTAAAATTTGCCGATACAGAGAAAGAACGTCAAGTTCGCAGACAGCATCAGCAGAGCACGACAAACGGTTCTTGTTCTCCGGCGTCAGGGCATTCTACCAGTACAGGGATGACTAATGGTCACTTAGATGGGTCTCATACATCAATGCAACAATATAATCAACAACAATCTCTTCGAACTCCAATTACGAATATCACAGAGGCGTCTAATATGGCGGTAGCAGCGGCCGCTGCAGCAGCCGCGGCTAATGCATTTCAACAATCACTTGTTGCGTCTAATGTTACACCAGGGTATTTACAATTCCCGGTAAGCTATAGATTCTTTATAAATATCATTGTTACTTTCACAGCTAGATCACAATTAAAAAAAATATCGGCTTTTAATGATGAGAAAGTTTTGATGGTAGATTGTGAGCTTGAAAATAAAAGTTTTACCGTCTAACTTCCGGGTGAAATTCCACCCAATCATTAGTGAGGTTCGATTTGTGCTTATATGTGTTCTTGGAGTACATGTGTCCGATCTTGACATTTTAGGTCTGAATGTAATACATAATTGTTTAACTGGGATTTAATACTAACAGGAGTGAAGACCATCTTATCCTCCCAAAACGACATCTGTGTTTGTTTGTGTGCTGTGGAATGTATAGATTGAATTTATGTTTCAGGTGTTCATTGAGTGTATACTTGTCAAAAAAGACTGGTTTCTATCTAACTGTTAGATCTGTATATCTTGAATTCCAATCCCTGGTAGGATAAGTGGCAATAAATTGACACTATTTAGGTATTCTTTAGTGGGACAATACAGCTGACTTCCTGGTCGAATAGTTATTTAGGCTTGTTAATTTTTAATTCATCTTGATTTTTGCAATAATTACTGGTGAACCTAATATAGTTCGCTCACTGACTGCAGGTATATGTAGTCATCTTCCTCACTTGTACCAGATTCTCCAGCTAAAACTGAAAAGTATTTTGAACCTACAAAACTGCTACATGGAAACCGACTATCAATAAACCATCACTGTACACTTTGTATGTGATCTATGCAATGAGTATAATGATTTTGTTTGAATTTCTTTAGAAACTAGCTAACTCAAATAATCAATGTAGTTCCATAGTTATCCATTTAAACACATAAACACTGATACAAAACGGCACTAGAATATATATGCACAACATAAACCTTTCGATATGTGTGACGGATGGAGTACTGTTCAGGTGCCCAAACTGAATGAAGTGGTTTTCTTGAAGAGCCATTCGCCAAGCCTTCGACCTAAAGTTGTAATCCACAAGTCAGTGGATCAACATTAGGTTGTGTAGTTTCATGTTAGCGTTTGATGAAGAAAGGGTTGATACACCATATGTTCCTTCAAGACCTTGGAGCTGATGTGCACTATTGGTTTTGAAGTTTGGAGTTTTCCATCTCCTGTAGATGGATCGTCCGTACCTATGAACGAGGATGAAGCACTGTACATTCGATTTTCGTCCTCAATTTGATAAACGGTATCCATGCATCGGGAAGTGAGTGATTAGGACTTCTGTGACAGTAGCTGTATGTGCGTGGTCATAAGAGAGCATTTCGAGAGGGAGAGCTATCCTCGACCGTACCAGTGCATTTGGGGCTGTCAGTGGCTGTATACGCGTGGTCACATGAGAGCATTTCGAGATATATATAGAGAGTGGCTTCTCCCCGCCCTCAGCTGCACAAGGGAATCTGAAAGCAATAAAGGTAACTTCCATAATGAAGATGTTTTGTGTCCCATGTTAAAGTTCATTTGAGACATATTCTCATCGGTATATTGTTTTCGTTTATGTAGCCCGGTTTATTTCCTACCGCTTCATCAAATGCTAGCCCTGTTCCTAATGGTTTCCAAAGTTCAGTTACTCAATTTACTCAACAGCAACAACAACAACAGAGTCAAGTAGCTCAGCAAGGATCAGCTTCGGCTTATTTTAACCCTATGGCAGCTTTCATGGCGGCTGCAGCTGCAATGCAATATGCCAATCCACAATTATCAACTGGTATAGCAGAAAGTCCATCAAGTCGTTCAACATCTATTCCATTACAATTGAACACGATTGTTAGTCATCCTACAATCGGTGTTGCTCATCAGCATAATCCACTTACAGGAACTAATCATTCAGTACCGAATGCTTCAGCGTTAGCATCATTGGCTGCCGGTTGTCCAGCCACTACTTTACAAAATAATACACTTCCTCAATGTGAGTTAGTTGTGGATTTTCTTTTCATTTCAAAAACGATATATGACACTTAATTTTGTGTATCAACCTGATAAATGACATTTAAATCCGGATACTTTAGACAGCTATTAGCTGTCAGATTCACTATTAAAGTATTTCCAGTGTTTTAATTTTTATTTAAATCTTGGGAATAATCATGATATTTGAGCTATTTACCGAATTTTATGTGTTTCACACTTGGCTTTATTCTTCATTGTTAAATGAATAAATCCTATTCTTTTTTTGTTTTCCTTCAAAAAGTAGCTTCATTGTTCCCTTTGACAGATGTCGCTCTATTATCTCCAGCCGCTTTAGCTGCTCTTACTCAAGTTGGCGCGGGTGCAGTTAATGGAGGTTTATTAACTGAAGCTGGAGTTTCCGGTAATAACGAATTTAACAATGCGTTTGGTACTGGTTTATTAGTTTCTGCTTCACCATCCACAATATCACCGCCGAGTTTCGCCAGCATAGGTAATGGTACTACTCAAGGTCAACAACCAGTTTCTATCTCTTCATCAACTGGTAGTGTTTTACCAAATGTTTCTCTTGGTGCAACTGCTAATATCTTGGTCTCATCTCCAGGAATGGTTACTCCGGTTGCTTCTACACCTCCTACCGTTAGTCCGGCTATTTTACCGTCACCAATAACAAATGAGCCTGTGGGTTTGTATGCAGCCGCTGTCGCTTTACAGAATTCAACTGCAGTAGGTCATACAAATGCGAACGGATTACAATTTCCTCAATTACATCCATCGTTTGCAGCAGCTGCCGCCGCCGCTGCCCAGTCAATGACACCATCTCCAGTGAACACTGCACTGAATTCGTATTTCACGGAAAATGCAGCTTTACAAGCCGCGGCGTTAGCTGCCGCTGCAGCCGGTTAGTTTCTATGCTCTTTTACTTATATTGGTCACATGCTTTGTAAATACCATTAATACAGTTATTGTATAGATACGGTTTATTGCTAAATTGACTGGATATTGGTTCGAAGTCATTTCCTATAATTCAGTTTGGGTTACTATGATTACAGCTTGGTTACAAAACATTTGGATGACCACATATTTGACTTTTGTGAATTCGTATTTCTTCTTCTGTATGAATTGTGCTTATTTTTGTTTTGTTTTATTGTTATGAATATAGAAAAGTTTTAAGGATTGATGAAGGGATTTCTCAATCGTTAAAATCAATGAATAGAATGTTAATCGATAGACACTAAGCAATAATACGCTATCTGACCAGCTGATTACTATTCACGAAATCATATGTTATTGACTAGTGCTTCTCAACTGATTAAAAATCAAAGAGAAGGCCATTAGGCAGAAGAACAAAGTTTATTATGTAATGAGATTGCATATTTATATAACAAAACATAAACCCAAAATAAACATGATAGGCGATTGGAAGAAATCAGCTTGTAGTTCATTCACTTTTCAGTCAAATCTAATTGTTATACTCAAACCTTAGATATGGTAACATGTATGTATTGTTTGTGTTATATGTGTTCACGCATACAACATATTGAATTTTCTGGTTTCATTGACATATCCAGCTTAATGATTACGAAATTCGGTCTTTGACAACTATTAAATCAGTCATAGTTTCGAACTCTCTTCCATCTAAATATAGTTTAGGCAGCTGAATATGGTATTACCATTATGTGTCACAGTAAACCAGTCCAACTCAGAAACTTGACCATATTACACGTTTACATTGGTCAATTGATTGGATCGTTACTATTTTGATTTAAGTTGCACTTATGTACTTTCTGTACAACATTACATTGCATTGAACAATAGAAAAGGTGAACATTTGTTGTTGTATCGTTTTTTTCTTTTTTATAAAAGAAGAAACTAAAATTGTTGAATATACGAGTTGTTAGGTTTATGTGTAGCTTTTCTCGACATGGAGGCACCAAACAGATATGCGCCACATAAATCATTCGATTTATGTGAGGGGTTGGGGTACTGCCCGGGTGCCCAAACCAAAGCAGGATTTGCCAACTTACAATTATTGCCACTTATTTATTTTCTCCTCTATATAATTTAAGTGTTTCATTGGAAGCTGTTGTTACATTTGAACAATCACTAAGAAACACATGGAGTTCAATGTCCAGTTAACGACAATGTTTTGTTCACGTATTTTAAACTTAACCATTTAGTCTTACAGATTCATATCATTTTAACCTTTGTATATGTAAAGATTTATGGTTTAAAGGTGTTTGTGTGTGCCAGCTTAAGAACCTGCCTCGTTTTTGTTACTTACTAAGTGTTACGTGAACATGAAAATGTAGTAGTTGATTACTTTTTGATTTTACTGATTTATGTTTTATTGTTTTTGCTTTGTTACAGCGTCTGGTCAGTCGTTTACTAATGATCCTATCGTTCATCAACTCTATGCTGGTCTTCAAGCCTACGGGTTAGGTTAGTTTAGTTTATAACAAATTTTCTACTATAATTAAATGTGGATACCATTCGAGTTTGTTGTTAAGCATATTCAATTGTTTTAACTCATGTTTTTCTAATGTCTTTAATGCTGATTGAGTTCTATTAGTCGATTTGCATCATTTTCTTGAAAATTATTGATGAGCATCAACTAGCGGGAATCTTAAGTTCAATAGTGTTTCCTTGATAAATACATCTAATGATCTGATATCAAAACGTGTTCACTTTCTTTTAAAAGTCATTTAGTTTAGTAGCCACGTTGTAACTTAATCAATAGAATTCTATGAGTACTATAAATGACTTGACAAACATTATATTGACTACCAATCAGTGATCTGTGGAGTCAGATCAATTGGATTCGAATCTATTAGGATAGAATCATTTCCATCAAGATTTCTCGTACGCCTTGTTGGTGAATGCTAACTAGGACGAAGTCTATGTTTTAGGGTCTGCTGTTTATTTTCTCTAACCACTATAAATGGATAACATATTTTGTTCTGTTTCTTTAAGTTCCTTAAAGAAAGTGTACACATTCACTTGTGTATTTCATTGAGGAATATTCTGTATTCTGTATTCTTCACTGAACATGGTCATTAATAATAGAGAATATTTAGAGGTTGCTAGTAATTCGATCGTAAGTGTCTTCAGTGCATTGCTCATATATTTTAAGATCACTTATTTAGATATCCACTGGTAAGGCATAGTGTATTTGGTAAATCTATTGATAAGGTAGTGAGTCTCCATCAAGTCAGGTGGTTGGAACATGCGTCATGTATTCCCAACCATCGTCTACCTCGATGGGCCATGTCTGGTGCAGGAGTAAGTTGAACGAAAGCTGAAAGTCGCCAGATCAAAAGAAACATCAGTCCATGAAGTCATTGACAATTGGATTTGAGCTGTGTAAATAGTTTGGGTCCTTGTGATTGTCGTAACCGATCGTTAAAGACTGAATACAATGGTACAAAATCACTCACAATGCCCCACTCTCATTCAACCTTTTACTTCGTTTAGAACCTGAGCACCTAATTCCTCTTTGATCATTTTATCTTTGTCTTTACGTAATCTTTTCTATTACTACTGATACTATTACTACTTTTCCTACTCTTGGATCTATCTTGAAATAATTTTATCTTACTGTGCTAATAGGGTATGCCAGGCTCTACGTTACGTATAACTGACTGACTTGTTATTCACTGTATCTCTGGTCGACGAACACATGAACTAACTAGACGATTAACATTTTCAATTGTAATCAACTTCGGTCAAAACATGATTAATCTGATCAACAAGATACATTTTAAGCTTTTCACTTATTTCTACTTTAAAAAGCTTAATCACTATGTTAATGTCTAATTCATATTAGATCGATCTTTTGTTTCTATTTTGTAAGAAGAATTGAATCATCATTCAGAAAGGACTCTCTGTCTCGTGACCAATGCGTTAACTTAATACACGGCGATAGATCTCGGTTTCCAGTGTAGACATCAAATATGAGTTTACTACCAGTTAATAAGTCACACACACACACACTACCAGGATTCCACTGATCCAGCCATTGTTCCTAAAATTCTTATAAAAATCATATGATTGCTAGTGAAAAAATTTGTGGCGATACTTGAATTTGTAGCTTACATCACGAACTGAATTTAGCTATCCAGTCCTCCCAAGTTATATAAGTCTGACGGGTTACATAATTCACTCTATATGTGTGTAACTATTACACTAAATTTGACCAGTGCTTTCAGTTCTCTTCTTTTTTTTCGTCCGAAATTCCAACCTTTCAGCTTATCCTACTGGAGGTGCCGCATATACCACTTTTCCTAATCTACATCATCAAGCTTTATCAATGCCTGTTCAACAGAAAGAGGGTACCAGGGAACTGATATTAACAGGTAAATTTATAGGTATTATTATTATTACTGCTCAATTGATTGAATTCACATAAAGTTGATGAGATCAATAGTTTGAGAGGAACAGATCTTAATTGTAGGACCTCTTCCGAACTAATCGTTCACCTTAATACTATATAATTCGTTCAGCTCCTAAACATTCTGGACGAGATTATGATTACATTTACTTATGTCAAAGACTTATGTTCTTGAGATCAAAGTCATTGATTATTGAGCTGAGTGTTATAGGCAAGTCTATACTACTAGGTTGTAGTCTTCGCGATGATTATAAAAAGTGTCTAGAGACGTTGAGTAGTATGCCTCAGAATCAGTTTTAATGGCGCAGATGCATTCACTTTCTGTCTTTACTTAGATCTTTATCTTTGAAATTACCTCATAATTATTCTGTTTATTTATTCGTCACTGGAATAATTTATTTTGTAGATGATGTTGGCTTTTCCTTCTTTCATCATTTGGTTTGCATAGAATTGACTGATGAGGTTTTGTTGATTTGTGTGCTACATCTACCCCAAACGGCTTCATCACCCTCGTAATTTCTGATACCCTTAACATATGGTTGGATAATTCGTTTGTTGGTTTCTGTACTTGATTTCGTTTTTACTAATGAATTGGGTTGATATTGTTCGATGAAGTTGCGTGGATAGTCATTCTTTTCAAGGATAGTCCCTGGATATATTTTGTCATTTTTCCTCGCTGCAAGTGTGACGCAGTGTTTTCTCATCCTCCATTATGGAATCACATCAAATATATGAAAATATCTTTAGAACATGATTATTATTTGAGTAAGAGTGCTCGCTGAGTTGTTACGTAACCACGGCGTTTTATGTTCATTCTTTAGCGAATTCTTTATGCTATGAAGTTATTTCTTGTTGTTTGTTGTCTTATTTATGTTTTTCGTACAGGTCCTGAAGGATGTAATCTATTCATTTATCACTTACCACAAGAATTCGGTGATAATGAATTAGCTCAAATGTTTATGCCATTTGGTACAGTGATCAGCGCTAAAGTTTATGTTGATCGAGCTACTAATCAAAGCAAGTGTTTCGGTAAGCTTTTAGCCATCTATCACTAACGAGTACTCATTTTTCTGGTCAATCTGTTTATCTGCTAGGGATTTTATTGAAAAATAACTGTGACTGTTGAAGTCGTATGTTTTTTCGTAAAAATATACAGTCATATATGGACATGAGATGTTAACAGGATACATATGGTTACATAATTGTGTAATAGTCTGTTTGACGATATGGTTCGTCTATCAAATGCTTGGCTTTGAGACAAATTTTATGTTCGGTTGCACCTACCGAAGTAGGATGAGACTCCATTCTAAGACAATTTTTTAGGTATCTGAAAACGAAACTAAGGCAGTAATGGTCTTTGAGACCTGGGAGTATGATAGCTGACCTTCCTAATGTGCTTGAGGACCTAAAGGAAGAAGTGTCCATATGAACGTAGTTCGATTTAGTCATCGTAATCTGCAAACTCGACCATCGCGTCAGAGGTACAGCAGCTACAGTCGAGAGTTGGTCACTTTGTTATTGGAAGATTTGACTGTTAACCGATCAGTAAGTCACAACTTAGAACCTGGTATGTATGTACATCGGTTCCAGTTGCTATATCCCATTAACATAAAGAGATGACGTTTTCAGGTCAAATCACAGAATAGTTGAAGTAGTAACATTATCAGTGATGACAGAAAAGATTGGTTTCAAAGATACTATTGGAGAAAAAAATATAAATTAATGAAATAAAAAGGTGGGGAATTCAGATGCTTATAATTTGGAGGACGACAAAGAATACATACAGCTACACCACTTAAGATGACTTTAAACGATGTTTTTCAAAGTCACTAACCATTGTTTATGATAATCGTTCGGAGTTCAACCAAGTAGTCTGCACCTATCAATATGGGTAAGTCCGAGTGTCATTGGCTTGATGAACTGATGCCGTGTTTTGGCTTGACTTCCTCTGGATTTCTTTCAACCTACTCATTCATCAAACTGCATCTTCTGTTGAGGTAGGTGGTGGTTGGGCATCCATGACACATGCCTAAACCATCACACTTGATGAAGACTCACTACTTCACCAATCAATTTGCCATCCTTAGTTAATACTCTATTCCTAACCTGAACATTGTTTAGTCGGTAGTCACAAAATACACCAGGAATTCTTCGAAAATATCTGCGATCGAATACTAATAACGTACGCATAATCTTTGATTCTTATTGGCCATGTTTCACACATAAATTGGAACGGAGCGAACTGATGCTCAGTAATCTCTTTGGTTGGAAGACGGATATATCACTTTTCTCACAAGTGACACAATTCGGCCAAAATCAATCGAGCCTTATGAATCCTTGCCAAGATTTCGTCAGTCACCAGAGCGTTAGGACTGATGAGACTCCCGAAATAAGTAAAGCAGAAGATGACTCCAACTATTTCAATTCCCATTGTTAGTTCAGGCGATAGCACAAACCAATCCTTAGGCATCATTTTGCATTTGTATGTAGAGAACGATATCTCAAATGTGCTTGCATTATTGATTTAGTTGATTAGATCATTTAACCAGTAAATCACTGTTTCAAGGTGTTATAACTTGTGGATCGGCGTGCCCTGTTATTGTATAACGCAACGACACCAACCAGAGAGCAGCGAATTATCGATCGAATCAGTGACGCACAAAACACGTACGAGCGACCTAGAGTCCTGATTGGTTCTGCTTCCCTGTCTAGCCCAGCCAGTTGAGTTCAGAACACCAATCTCAGCCTCTGCAATATGAACCATGTATTTCAAACATACTGAGTTTATATACCAATCAAACAGACCACAACGTACCATAAAATATGAAAATAACATTTGTACAAAATATGGCCAAATGTGGCTGTGAATAAGGGAGGTAGTGATTAACGGACAGGGAATAATTCAAGAATGGTAAATCGTATAATAATAGTTCATAGGTGAATATAAAGTTCATAGTAAGAGGGGCATGAATATGAATAGTTTAGTTACATAACAATTACACGATAAAAATATACTCATAGTAATGGCCCATAAATCGATCCCAAGAATTACCATTCATTATTCTTATCGGAATGTAACACAATGTACTTGATCATATTTTAGCAAACTTTGGTTGGTTATCTCAAAGAATCTAGGGTAGGGGAGCCTTAAGGTAAATTTCAATTTTTTTAATTGAAGATTTTATTTGAGTAGGTCAGATTCACAATGACTTACCGATCAAACGACGGGTTTACTGTGCAGTAATTGGTTCCATCCTACTTCATGGCAGTGAAACATGACCGGTAAGAGTAGGAGATATTCGATCATAGGTGTCTCGTATATCCCGGGACCACTGAGTAAGTAATGCAGTTGTCAGGAAACGGGTACTAGGTAAGGATGAAGAAGTGAAACTTCATCAGTTAAGATGGCTAGGACACGTGTTACGTATGCCCAACCACTGACTGCCACGACGTGTGGTATTTTGTGGTGTAGGAGTAGGTTGGGAGAAAGCTAGGGACGGCCAGACCAAAACGTGGTACAAATCCATGAAGTCATTGACAAGTGGACTGAGTCATGTTGGTAGGTGTAGACTACTTGGTTGAACTCCGAATGATTATCATAAACAATGTTCAGAGACTTTGAAAAACATCGTTCAAAGTCGTCTTCAGTAGTGTAGGTGTAAGTATTCTTTGTCGTCCTCCAAATTATAAGCATCTGAATTCCCCACCTTTTTATTTCATTAATTTATATTTTCTCCAAACCAATCTTTTCTGTCATCACTGATACTATTACTACTTCATCTATTCTGTGATTTGGCAACCGACGGTTAGAGACCTTGAATGATATGGCTCAAAATCGTTTGTAATGACGCAGCTGCATTCACTCTTTGTGTTCTCCCGAATTCGAATCTTCTGAATTTTTCATATCCCTTCCCTTTTTCTCTTTCCAAATTTATTTTCCTGGATTATACTTCTTGGTTAACATCTTCAAACCCTAATGTTTCTGATTACTGCTTATACTCTTACTACCTCTACCAGTATGAGATTTGAATCGAAAACTGCATCTCTGTGCTAATGTGGTATGACAATTCAAAGTGATGTTCGTATGTACGAAGTTCTACGTTGTTGCTGACTGACTGAAATTCACAATGTAGACATTCATCTTGGAGAATACACACAGTAGATGCAATGATTCCATATAATTTTGCTGTGTATCATCATAATTTGAGTAATCTTCAATTCAATTTCTTTTTTTTTACTTTAAATTTAGGTTTTGTCAGTTTTGATAATCATACAAGTGCTCAAAATGCAATTCAAGCAATGAATGGTTTTCAAATTGGTATGAAACGATTGAAAGTACAATTGAAGCGTCCTAAAGGTTAGTAGTAGTTAATTAAAGTTCTATGATTCCATGTGATTGAAAGGAAAATCTTAGAGATAATGCATTTCTTAATAATGAATTTTCTATTATGTTCATGTAATTGGTTTATCTCTATTTGATCAACAAAATCTCATCAATAAAAGACTGTTAATTGTTATCTTAATCTGACTTACAAAGCATTTTATATTACTTACGTCTACTTATATGATCTTTCAGTAATAAATTTCATCATTGTAACTTTTTTTGTTGTTGAAAAATAATGTTGACATTTATTCCAAAATCCCATTGTTCTTCATTTATACTAACATGTATACATTGTTAGGCGGTAACACTTCATCAACATCATCATCGTCAAATACAAAATCTTCTCGTGATACTACTACTACTACTACTACCACGCATACTGGACAAAGACAAGACGGTGATTTATCTCTTCCTTCACAGGATTCTATATACTCTGAGGTAAATGTTACGACAAACATAGACGCACACACACACACATTCGCTCTGAGCTGACCATTAATTAATGTTGATCTAATCTTGTTATCGGCTGAAACTTGATTGTACATATGTGTGTGTGTGCGCGTGCGTGCGTGTGCGTGTGCAACTATTAATTGTATTCTTGTATGTCGATATATGTGTTGTCGTCAACTTGATAAGAATATCGTGTCAGTGTAAATATTTGTTTATTTATCTATCTATCACTGTCTACTACATATTTATATGTCTATCTGTCAATCTGTCTTTCCATCTAATTTATTATATTTGTCATTGTCAAGTTAATTAATTCATTAATTAATTAATTAATTAATTATTCCTCATTTCTAGTTGTATGGATACATCATCATGTTTATTTGCTAATTTGTTTCTATGTTTATTGATATTTAATGAACTTGCATAACAACAAAGTGGCTATAAATTGATCTCAAAAACATTTTTTTTTCTATTGTGTACAAGTGTCTATTAAGTGTTTATTTTCAATATGACAAATTTGATAGGGAATCAATGAATGAAGAAGTAGGACAGATAGATAGATGGGTACAGTAAATAAATCTTAATATCAGAAAAGGTTTTTGTAGATATTATAATAGTTGAGATTATGAGTTCATTGAAGCTGTAGACCTACTGTGATGGAAAACTTGGAAGCATTGGACGACTGTTTCGTCTTATTGTGCGCATCCACAAGAATCAAACCTTAACGGACATGTAAATTCTAATTGGGAAGATCTTTGGATTTTGTTTTTGTTTATCCTTCTTATATTTGATGGAGTCGGAGCAGTTAGTTAATAGATGTTATTAGTGATAATCTAAAATGTCATTTTTAGCTTGATAAAAAGTCAAATGTACATAAGCTTTAGTACTTAGGCATCAAAATTATATCAAATATAACTGTAATTATTGTTATATTTATTGTGCATTTTTATGGAGTTTTGTCCTCTGAGCTGGATGGTTTAGTCGTGGAGCTTTCAGCGTCCTTCTGAATGACATTATCAGTAGCATAAACTTTAGGTAGAAGTGAAATGTTGGAATTTCTGCTTATATGGTTCACAGTTTGTCCTGTACAACTCGATGTTAATTGGTTCTTGTTGACCATAAACATATCATTGTTTACTTCTTTGTTTTGGTTGTGTCTCCCATTGAACACTTCACTTCTACCTGAAGTTTGTGCTGATGATGTCGTTCAGAAGAACGATGAAAGCTTCACGACTAAAACATCTAGCTCAGAGAATAAAACTCCATAAAAATCATTTACCTGAACTACAAATCTTCTCCACCATCTCAATTGTACATTTTTATCACAAGTGGATTACTTCAGTGATGTTATGATAATTTAATCTCTTTGGATCATATAGTCAATGTGTAGTGTTAGCCTAATATCAAAATCTCTTAATTACTCTTAATAAATTATATCCAACAAATCAATTCAAACACCAGACGTTTGCCCGTTGTTTTCTCAGTTTTATAATGTGAATTTCACCACTGGACGTTTCGAGGTCTCCTTTTTTATGATCTTATAATTATTATTACTTTTCTAAATACTAAATGAATGAATTAGTGTTCCTTTTTTTCTTCATTCCCCCCCTTCTTATCAATATCATTGAAGGTTCTTGTGCTCTAGAGGGTCTTGTGTATAAAAGGTTAAGTTTCAGAAAATAAACCAAATGATTAGCACAATTTCACATTATATCTTATTTGTTGTAATCACTGGAACCGATGAAAGTGTTCCCTTTTTAAGATTATTGCAATCTTTTCCCAAAAAATAGATGAGTTATCGTTGTTTGTCCGACAGTGTCAGTGTTTAGTACTTTCTTTTTGAAATATTTTAGCAAATGTAAAAAGTAACTAGGTGAAAACATTCATGTCAAGTTGGTACTGTGTAGTGTATGCATGTGTGTGTGTGTGTTTAGTTGTGTACATCACCAGCTTATAATTTGAGCGTTCAATGCAATAGATACACGGAAATATTCTACTTATAACATGTTCATCTATGGAGTGTCGGTTAACCAATTAAAATATCTAACTTCACTTTATTAAGTTCCAGTCGGAATGAGCACTGAAAACCTCTCGGTACAAAAACAATCTAAATCCTAATGACATTCTTATTATTACGTAATATGTCCTAGTGACATTCATTTATCGTGTTACATATGTGTCGTTTCAGTTAGAGATGAAGATTTTTCGTTGTTTCTTTCTTTCTTTTATTATTGTTGTTAGTCCATTTTTCATTTGATTACTGGTTCATGAAAAAAAAAACAGTCTTGTGATCTTCCGTTTTTTGTGTGCTCGTTTTATTTGAACTTTTCTTATCTGTCTTGATTTGGCCCTTAAATATCTTCCTTATGTAATGCATATCTATGTATTTATCTGTTCTCTCGACTGAATACCAATAATGTTGATGTATTATAATGGGGCTTATTATGATAAGTTCCAAAATTTTCACCCCTCTGAACTGCTTTGAAAGATTGACACCATTAAGAAAACTGTTGATCCCCTATCGGTTTATAATATTTTTACCACTATCAGACGAAATTGTTCAATGATTACCATTTGTTGAGAGGCTGACGAAACATTTTCCCGTTCAAATTTCTGATAACAGTTTACAAAATGAAGTTAATGAGATTATCCAGAAGCTAATTTTCGTCACGCTTTAATATCAATTGAGAGAGGTCGGAAATTATTAAAAAAATAAGAGATCAGTAGATGACAGCTAACTGTATGGAGCTCTTCAACTGTTGTACCTTAATCAACGAGAATGTTTTCTTATTATTATTAATTTAAAATCCTATACTTCCATACTGGAGTAAAACAGCTGTCCAGTACTTCCTAAGTCATATTATAACCTCGATCAAATTGTTGATCAAGATGTGAATGACATCACTCATAATCGATCACAGTGTCACAAATTCCGTTACCCTATTTATCCTTTTCTCTAGTAGTAGTTATATTAAACGTCTCACTACCACGTTCCCGTTTTTTGCTTCTCCATATTCTTTAGTGTTTCTCAGTATTACTTTGAGCGAACTTATCAAAAACTTGTTTTCATATTCATTTTATCAGTATCATCTTATTGAAGCTAATTTCGTTAGGTTGCTTTTTATGCCATACTCCCCCCCCCCCCGAAGTTGATTATAATAACTAGTTGACTAGGAAAAAATTTTCATTCGTTTTTGTAAATTATTACCATAGAAATGTGAATAGAAGTAAAAATAAATGTAACGTCATATTTATTGATTTTTTATAAAAAGAAAAAGAAATACACTAACAATATAAAAGTTTGGACACACCCCTTTTTCTGTTTATACAGATTAGGCTTCATTTATTGAAATCATGCTTAGTTCCAGTTTACGTCAAATAAGTTCGGTTGAAGACTAATCTGTTCACCACGTGAACAACTGATAAATATCACATAGTGTTTAACGAAAATGTAACATCCACTTTTAGCTTACAATCTCTATATATAAACAATTAATGCAGATACTAATAGACATGTTTGATCACGTTTTTATTCACTGGTTACTACGACTAATACTGCTTAAATGTTGCATGTGTTTACTCCCTGTCTAAACGTTTTTTTCTTTATTTGTTTGCATGTCTTTACATGTCATTAAATGATCAATTTGATAATGACGCTCTGCGTCATTTCTATTGGTGATGGTGATAATAATTTTGTTACTGCTGTGAACAATGAATAAAATGATTATGTTTCTATCAACCATAAAGCTCACACAATTGTTTGTTATATGATAAGTGTCATCTTTTACAATCATACTACAACAAATATATTTTGTTGCTTTTTTTTTATCATGTTCATGCTATATCTTTGTTTTCGGTGTTCTTTTTTTCCTTGTAGATAGTCGTAAGCCCTACTGAAACAGTCTCGGTCGCTCCGGTACCTGCTTTATAAGGTGTATGTAATGGATTGTTCCTCCCTCCTTTTGCTCTCTTCTTCTATTCCTGAAAAATCTCAACAACACAGGTTAACTATATTTTTGTTGTTATACTCTCTTCTAATTGATACTATTCATCTGCCGGCTTCGATCTTGAATCGTATGATGGTAACTACATGTGTCAATCTATGTTATGGCTCTATTCTTTTCATATGCTCAAATTTCTGCTCCTCCTAAATTATTTTTGCTAACTTCTGGAGTGCACACATTTATCTCTCACTGCGTCGCCCCCTATTCTTTAGCATTATTCTTCACCATTTAATCTATTGTATGGTCTATTTTTATTATTACTAGGCGGTCAGTTTAAAAAATGTGTTGATCTAGATTCCTCTTTATTTTTAGTTTCCTGAAAGAGAATCAAATTGAATTTTCTTCTCCGTTTTTCCTTGCTTTGATGTTGTGTGACTCTGTCTCCCTCTCTCTATGTGTGTGTCGGGTGTCTCTCCCTACTCAGTTCGATTAATCTCTGCAATACAATAAATACAAATAAACAGAAACAAACAGAATTTTGATAGAGAAAAACCCTGATACATTCAATATGGCATTGTAGCGAAATAAGAGCCACTCTCCATTCACAGTATACATTTCAATGGGTCTTGTTCATTGACCATGTACTATTTTCACTGATTCATTTTAATAATACACAGAAATATTAATTGAAAGTATGCGTAACGAAAAAAGAGGGAGAAAATTGCATTATTATTATTATCCCATCATTAAGATGACTGTTAATCTATTGTTTTATGGTATGCAGCCTCAGTGTTGTTTCTATGATTGTTGTCGTCATATGAGGAGGTGCTTTTTCTTCTTTCTTGCTTTTTCTCCATTTTCCACATTTTTCTTTCTTTTCGTCTTTGAATATATTTTGTTATAATGATTGGTGGTTTGTTTTCTGCTCATTCCTTCGATTTTCACTGAGTCAAAATAGGGAGAGGGAGAAGGAGATACACACACACACACACACAGGTATATGCATATTTTTACATGATGAATGAATTGTCCATAAATAACAGATTTTGCTTAATTATCTTTGTTGTAAATGACCTATTGTCGTCATCACTACTGTTGTAGAGTTGTTGTGTTACTTTTGTGCATTACTGAGTATTTTTTTGTTTGTTTGTTTGTTGATAAAACACCTTTTTTTTCCATATGGCATATCGTTTCATTATGATTGAATATTTTTTCAAGAGAAAAAACAAACAAACAATTTAAACATTCCGCTTACTGTGGTTATTTGTCTCTCTCGACGATTTGGTTCTCTCTCTCTCTCTCTCTCTCTCTCTTCAACGATCGATGTTGCATTCGTTTATATTTGTGTTCGTCACGAGTTCCATTTGCATTTTTAACATTTTCCATCTATATTATCGCTAATAATGTTGTGTATGAGCTCTGGCACGTTCATTGAATATAATCACAATTAGCAATTCTATTTCATATAGAGTACGTTTATAATTGATAGTATCCATTTTGGTTACTTATCCATCCATTAATCATTATTCTTATCTACTTAAATGATCTATTTTAATGATGAATAAATAGCAAGTTGATTATCATTAGTATCATTGCAAAAAGAAGAAAAACAGAGAACATACACAACAAATGAAGAAACTAGATTGTTTTCGACGATTTTTCTCCTTTTCTTTTTTGATGACCAATTATTTACCTCCATTATATTATATACATTATTCTTTCAATATATTTTTTAAAAACATAATTTTCATCCATTTGTCTTGGCTACATACATTCCTTTAGTTCAATTATAGAAATGGAACACATTTTGTGAGATGATTTTTTTGTTGTTGTTGTTGATACTCATGTGTAACGCTTTCTACACATCGACTACGATTGTTACAATAACGGTAGAGGAGAAATAAAAGAAGGTTATTTACAAGCTGAAGTCCTACTGTTGTTGTTGGTGGTGATGATGATGATGATGATGACGGTGTTTCTATATTGTTGGTAAAAACCATAGACATATTTCTCTTATTTTTCTATACCATTATATACTACTGATAAGCAAATTGTTGTTGTTTTCCTTCACACACTCTTCATGTTTTACTATCCACATACCCTTATCCTTTCATTCACATGGTTATCTGATCCACACACTTCAAAATACACAGAGACAAACTTAGAGAAAATCTTAATTTCACTCCCAAAGAAAGTAGACGAGACATTATGATATACAGCGCAATACAACATAACAGACAAGTGAGAGCTTCAGAGGAACTAAGCAAAATGAATGCATTTAAATTTATTTTTGTGCTGTAATTTACTAGGGTTTTTTTGTTGTTACCGATGATTATGTTGATGAGACCGCATGATTTACACCTATACCTCTTTACTTCTCTTCTGATGAATATATATAAATGCGATTGTGCTGTTTTCCTGTATGCGTATAACTGAGTATGTGGTTGAGATTTTAAAGTGTGTGTGTGTGTGTGTGTGTGGAATGATCGGATATACGTTGAACAGTAATATACTGGTCAATAATGATATTAGATTTACCGGTTTCTTTTTCATAGATATGTCTTCATAATCCGTCTATTCAACCCGCAAATCGATAAATAAATAATTAAATGGGTGTGGATACACTATGATATATGCAGAAATAAGATTGTTCTTTACATATACACACAGTGGTATTTCGTTTTCAGTTTTGGAGAAAATACACACCACTACTGTCTCCGTTTCTTGTTTCCCCATCTTAGGCGTTTTTTTATTATTATTATTATTACATATTAGTCAGTTTTGCTCTCCCTATCCGATTCGATCATTTTTACTACCATGATGAATCTATAGTGTATAATGTTATATGCCTCTCATTTTTACAATTTCTATGATTCTTATGTTGAACACACTTTAAAAGAAATACACATGAATACAATTTTCCAATACATCACTTACAAGCAAACTGTACGTGATAATGTTAATTATAATACTAACACTATTATGACTATTAATGATGATGATGATAATAATACTAATAATTCTTTACAATAAACGTGTTCTTTTTCTTCTCTCCGATTGGCATTGTCAAAGTGTATAACTACAAATAATTGTATAGATGCAATAATGGAGTAATGTTAGGAATGTTAACTTACTGATTAAAACAGTTGATTTTCCAATGAAAGACGTTCTAGATCTAAACTTTCTTGCTTTGTCTACGTTGATAAGATAATAGAATTAGGTCCCGAATTCAAGGAGTGTTTGGGCTTAAGTCTCTAAGGACATGAAGTTAGTACTTTGTAAATGATTTGGCGACTCTGGATGGCATGGCTCAGAATCGATCACAATGGAGTAGGTGTATACACTCTCTGTCTTCCTTTAAACTAAGAGATTAAAATCGTTCCATATCCTTCATTTTAGGTACTAAATCTTTCTTCTTGTACTATATCTTTATATGCAATCTTTGTTTTATATATTACCACCATTGAATTAACTACTTCTATGAATTTGGTGTTCATGTTGTTGTGCTAATGAAGTATGGCAACTTGGACCGATGCATATTTGTGCCTGGTTCTACGTTTTAGCTGACTGACTGAATGTAAATGATGTAACTTTGATGCTAAAATGAGGCTATAACAAGTAAATACCGGCAGGCCCCCAAATGCCCTTGTACGGCCGAGAGTGGGGAGAGTCAACTATCCCTCTCGAAATGCGCTCACATGGCCACGCGTATATAGCCTCTGACAGGGAAGTCCTACTCACTTCCTTCCCGTGGCACTACTGTTGTTTACGAAATTGAGAGGACGAAAAGTGAATGTCCGGCTCTTTAACCTGGTTGGTGGACATGGATAGTCCAACTAGGGGAATTGAAAAACCCTGATTCCTAACCAATGCTCCAAATGGGCTCCAGGATCCTGGGGGAACAAATGGCGTATGAACCAATTGTTGGTCACCGACTTCCATGGGACTGTATCTCCTTACGTTGCTCATCTGCCTTGTGGATCAGACCTTCGGGTCGAAGGCTTCGGTTGTGCCCCCCTAAGAAAACCACCTGTCTCGGTTTGGGCAGCCGAGCAGTATCCCAGCCCTCACACAAATTAAATGAGATTTGTGTGACGCATATATATTTGGTGCCTCATTGTACCAATATCTATTTGTTTTGTTGAGGAGTGCTAAGTAGAGATGTATTAAATTGTTCATAAATGAGTAGGCAGATTTGAATATGAAATTTAAACCGAGGTTGGTTTTTAACTTATCCTTATAATCAATAAGGAGTTTTGTGGATGTTATAGTAATTTGAAAGTTGCGTTCATGAGTCAATTGAAGCTAGACAAGTATGGGAAATCTGGAAGCACTGTCGTGGGACTCCTCAGCAGTGCACATCCACGACCGTTGAATACAGGCTCCGTGGTCTAGAGGTTAAGCATTTGCCCGCGAGATTGATACGTCCTAGGTTCGAATAGTAGATGAAGATTGCTGAGGAGTCCTACACTAGGACGAAACGGCTGTCCAGTACTTCCAGGTTTCCCATGGTGGTTTAGCTTCAATCTCAACTACTAATATTAAATTATCCTTATAAACTAACATCACTAATTGACAAGACAGTAAAGTTAATGATAATGAAATGACTAAAGTGTATTCATTCGCTTTTCCTATGTGAAAAATAATAATGAAATTCTTTTGGATGATAATCACATCATCACCTATTTGGGTAGATAAACCAAAATTTTAACTCGTTAATACTTCTGTTTCCGTACAGAATTATCGGTACCATATAATGAAACGGGAAGAAAGTTGAATTCTTCGTGTTTTTATTTAAGTAATTTGAGGACAATCAGTAGGAGTCATCCTTGATGTTGTCACTCGTCAAGAAGATATGATCTGTGATATTGAAGAAACTAGTCGTCTCTGTTGGATTCGAACCCAGTGTCTTAGCCACATTTCATATAAGTCTTGCTAATGATTCGCAACTTGCATGAAATCTAGATCAAATGTGGTTCACTTACCGTTCTTCTCTAATTATTCAACACTAATGTATAGTTTACTCCATGTTGTTACTTCAGTGAGTGAACTAGATAACTAGTAGATAAATAACATTCAATCATCTCAAAAGAATAGACAAACGTGCCATTGGTCACCGTTCAGTGATATTAGTCAATGTCTAGTTCTTCCCATTTATCTTCAATAGTAGCTCTTAACTTGGCTGCTATTAATAAAATTACATTTTATTCGCAGTTTCGACATAAATAGACATTGATTTATTCATTCATTTCTCTGTGATTTTTAATCACTAACCAATTAGTATTGTACACTCTTCTGAACAGGTTGTCATTTTGAAAGTCTCACAATTTTAATGTAGCTAAGATATTCTAATGTGATTGTAAATATGAACCTGACTAAGTGGATATTTAATGTACACCGTGTGAATAATCCAATATGACATCTGTTAAGAAAGTGTTAGGTTAAACTATATATCAATTATCTATTCAACTGTATTAACTCCTCCTGGAGCCCTTCTTGGGATACTGCCGGTCGCAAGCCCAGGTGACGAAGGAGGGTTGGGCATGGGGTTACCGAACCCATCCCATAGAAAACTAACTCGCTAAAAAAACGCTAACCAGAAAATACTTTTCAACTGTACTAATATAAGAGAGTTAAGATAATGTTTTAACAAATTCAGTTCTGAGGACCATTGGATGGTGTTATTAGTCTTCATAATCAAACACTGTAACTCCAAAAAACCACATCAATTAACACTTATGTTTGGTATATGATTTAAAACAATAAATAACTGTATTACTTCCAAACAGATGAAACAATACAGTATGGATAGGCGCAAAGTCATTTCTTTTACAATAGTTAGTCAGTGATCTGAAAGTTAAGTACATGCCGTTAGACTTGAAGATCAAGGGATAGATCCCTGATGAGGTCATGGATACACACTATATGAGGTGCTTGTGCTAAAACCGAATATCTGGCCAGTACTTCCATGTTTCCAGTGATTGCCTAACTTAAAACAAACTGAACAATTCAACAATATAAATCCCTATGCTAATAATAATGATATATATATTGGTCACTGATTTTTGAGAGATAATTCCCCGAACTCTAATAAAAGTTCGTAATATTCAGAATTGATTGAATTGAAGTATACAAACCAATAGTTGATATCTCAATGGTCTATAGGTTAAGCACAACTCTCGAGACTTGATCTCGGTCCCTGGTGGGATCATAAATGATCACTTTTTATGAATCCCATACTATGGTTATCTAATTAAGATCAATTCACAATGTATACCTATAAAGATAATCAGGAATTACAATTTAAACAAAATAACATGGATTTGGTCCAGTTCTCACTTTGATTGATTAAGAATCTTAATTTTCCATTATCATAACAACAAATGACAGTAACTATGAAACTGTCCGGAAGTGAATGTTAAAAACGATTTTTATTACAATAACGTAACACACAAATGATTCAAATAAGAAAAAGGTAAAATAGGAAAGTTTAATGAATTAGTTTCCATGTCCTTTTTCTTTCTCTCTTTCTAAAAGAGGATCTCGTTAAACAGTTGGTGTCGTAGCGCTCCTTTTTTTATTTAAAAAAATGTTCCCCTAATTATTATCATTATTATTATTATTATCTCATATCCTTTATATGTTACAGCCAATAAACCATAAATCGATCGATCAACCTTGAATCAGAAACGTCCCAGTTATGTGACTTTTGAGTTTTTTTTTCAGACTATATGACCTTGGCTTGTTTTTTTCCATCCAATCACATGAATTACAACTGTGAATACAGCATAAGGTGTTTGTGACCATACTTCTGATATTCTGATTGGTGGTTTAAGAATGTGGGAGTTTGTGTGGATTATTGATCGTATGATGAAGATGTCTAATGAGGTCAGTAGATTTATCGTTGATTATACACCTTGGAGAAAAGCAGGAAGAGTGTGAAAACAATCCATTACACTTGATACATATTGACTGTATCCTTAAAAGCAGATTTTACGGTGAGACTATAATTTATAGACGACCTTTGAGCGACTCTGTAGTGACTTTGAGAGTGTCCACCTAATAACTATGACCAAATGAAGGTAATAAATTAGTGTGAGGAATTCGAATGATGAATTACATTTGATGGTTAAGATTAGGAATTAGATTTAGGTTTTCAAATCACGAACTGACATCAGCTATAATGCCAAGACTCTATTTAGCCAAATGGATGAGTGAATTTCGCGCCAAAATTCGAGACCTATTATTTTATATCTGATTGGTTCATGTATAAATTATAGTCTCGCCGATTTTACAACTTCGATTAGGATAACTACATAAATGGAGAAGTGTTATCTGTGTTACATACAACAGTAGACTTAGGACTTAGATATTCCCAAGACTTGTCGTTTACAGAACAGATATTAAAACAGACCTCTAAGTCTCAACGTCTAATAGGTTACATAACTCGAAATCTTTACAACACTGAGTCTCGTATTCTAATGTACAAAGTTTGTTCTCGACCACTTCTAGAATATTGCACGTTTATTCTTAGCAGTGCGCTCATAAAGGATAAATTAAGACTGGAATCAGTACAGAGACGATTTACACTTCTTATTCTTGGAGCTGATTGTACCTTAACTTATAATTCTAGATGTAATAAACTTGGGCTAGACCCTTTATGGAAGAGGGGACTCAAATTAAATCTTATCTTTTTCTTCAAACTACTTCATAAACTATCGTTTACATCCAATCACGTGATCCAATATACAGAAACTTCTCATTATGACATCCGTAATTCCTTGGTACTAATGAAACAAACTCATTCTAAATCATCTCTTTATATGAATTACTTTACCTATAAATTTTCCAGACTCTAGAATAACCTACCACAATCTATCCGTACGATAAAATCACTGCCATTATTTGTTCGCTGCATCGATGCATACTGCTCCTCTGAAAATGCGTTGAACGTTCTAGCACCTGTGAGTGTATCTTATTCCACAAGTAGTATCATGAGAACTTTAAATGTTTAGCCATTCTTGTTAGTGA